CCCATTCAGTGTATGCTGTTCCTGGCTGCATCTTACAGCCTGCCACTATGTGTTGGACTATCTCTGAGGCTTCTTTGCACAATCCGCACCTTCGTCCTGTCTAGTGTGGTAGACCCCTGCTTCTATGGATCTGGTGCTTACTGCCTGTTCTTGTGCTGCTATGATCAGTGCTTCAGTGCTGTCTTTTAGTCCAGCCCCCCTAGCTGAGGTGGCTGATACACACACACACACACAATGTCTGATTCAAAGAGGGTAATCTGGAAATAATACAAAGTTACCCCATAGAACTATTTCTGACACATGCATTCTTGACTGAAAAAATAAAGGTATAAGTATATGAAGAAATAATTTCAAAATGAACGTTGTGTGATATGGCTAAAATGTAAATGTTGCTCTTTTCTAGCTAATCACAGAATATAGTCCCTGCACATAAAGATCCTGGGTGCATGTGCACATAGATGTGTGAATCCAATATGAGAAACTCCCTAACTGTACATTCAGCAGATCATCAGAAAGGGGTGTCTATAAACATTATGTTACACTCTATATGCTAAGAAAGCTGTTCTCTATAACAGAGGGCTAGAAAACATCTAGCCTTCCAGATAATACTGAAGTGAGACTCGGAACAGCAAGCCAGCATGGGCAAATGTGTGGGATGCTGGGAGCTCTAGTTCAATATCATCTGTAGAGTCAAACATTTCCTAGTCCCATATTACAGTTTATTATTATTGCTGTCGTCATATAGTCAGCCAGTTTAGACTGGATTTGGCATTTTTATCCACCTATCAAGTCCTTCCCAAGGTCCTGGGATAGGCCGATGTTGTTTGATGGTTTTAAAAGTATCACCACAGGATGTAAACTGTTCCAAGTAAAGCTGTCTTTTGCAACTGACTGATGGCGATTTTGTCAAAGCCGATGGTTTTCAAGTGGTGCTCCACATGTTTAGTGATTGTACCCAAGGCACCTATTACTATTGGTACTATCTTTGCTTTCTTTTGCCAAAGAAAGATTCCATTTCAGATGGTGTTTTTCCATACAGCTTCAGATCATCCATGTAAAGGAGGTGGGATAACCTGGCAGATGTTTTTGATATTTGATAGCCATGGCCTGACTTGGTCAGTGTTGACAGAGGAATCAATGAATAGAGTGGTGATAGTGAGTCTCCTTGAAAGATTCCTGAAAGATGTTAACTTCTCCCAGTCTATCACCATTGACCAGCAACTGTGTCTTCCACTGTATCATTGATCTTTGCACAAAGATGTTTCTACTGACTCCTATAATTTCTAGGCACTTAATTATCCAATCATGTGGCAGGAAGTCAAATGCCTTCTTGTAATCAATCCAAACTACATTCAGGTTGGTCTTCCTTCTCTTACAGTTTTCCAAAATCACCTTGTCAATCAGGAGCTGATCTTTTGTCCCTCTGCTGTTTGGGTGGTTTCCTTTCTGCTCAGATGGAAATAACTTGTTTTTAACTAGATGCTGTTGGAATGCATCAGCTACCACACCAGTTAGCAATCTGAAAATTGTTGGTAAGCAGGTAATTGGCCTGTAGTTGCCTGGTGCTGCCCCTTTTGTTGG